ACGCTCAGAGGAATTCAATAACTGTTTCTTTCTACTATTTCTGGATATGGATCAGTGGAAATCTGAACATTTGATGAAAGTGAAGGTAGATTCCCATCATGGCAAGGTGGATCGTGCATTGTTGTGGGAAACTCTCATAGTAATTTGCCTGCGTGAGGACAAATGGAAGATGGGTGAAGGAGGTGGCGATGTCTATATGCAGATAACGCGCGATTATGACCTTGCAGTCAAGAAGTTGCGTGCGAATGAAGAAGCGTCCATGAAGGCATTTCTAGAACAGGGTGCACCAACGTTTCTGGTGTGTGTGCTTGGTATGTGTCATGAACGTCAGTATGCATTCATGCGTGGACATCTAATGATTAACTGACAGGAACTCTGCTGTTCATCGCGGGCGGTTTCCATGATGGACGAAGGTCAATCATGGAACCACTGAGTGATGGAATTTTCATGCTGGATGATGACACAAATGTACGGCAGCAGAAGGTTGCAACTTTGTTGTATGCGCTATCCCAAGGCATATTTGCATTAAAGAAGTGTGTAACACCCACGATGCCTTCCATTTGTGGCCATTTCTGATACTGCCTTATAGCCTGCTGGACGAGGCAAAGTCATCATTGGAAGAGGCAAAGTCACACTCACCTATCTCATTCTCTGCATCCACTCCTCGTATTTATACATCATGCACATTATATAAAGGCAAAGGCACGCAAGGCAGCCTCACCTTTATGGAAAACATTTCTGGTCAGAAGGACAATCGACTTCTATTTGCTGCCTCACTGTCTTCATCGAAACAGTCTGCATTATCGGTACTCGTGAAGTTGGTCAATGAACCCTATGGTGACAAAGTGCACCATCTGCTGACAAAACACGACCTTGCACCAACCCTTTACAGTTATGCACACTATGAAGGAGCTCCATGTGCGTACGTTATGAACTATCTTCAATTACCGGCTTGAACCACCTTGCATGACTTTTTGCACAAGAATGCCATCATAACAGACAAGAAAATCAATCTGAAAGACAGGCAGGCCATTCAGAATGCGTTGCAACATCTATTGAAGATATTGAACGATAACAAATTCATGCACGGTGATCTATGGCCCATTAACATCATGCTGCAAGTTGATGCCAAGGGCAAGCTAGTCAGAGAGAGAGAGAAAATCAATACTGTGAAGATCAAGGTGGTCAACTTCGATTGGGCGGGGAAAACTGGGAAGGTGTTCTATCTCAAGCTGCGTAATCAGGACATCAGTTGGCCTGGTGAACCTGGCGGTCAAATCAAGCGCAAGCACGACCATAAAATGCTTCAGTCGTGGATGTACCATTGGCCTTTTCACTAATGTCCCAACATTGCACAATAGGATGCTTGACTTTCTCGTCTTTTCTGTTAACGGCTGCCTGTAGTTTGTTAATTGTATCCGATTCTGCTCATCCAGCAGCTGATGCAGGAACTGCGGAGACTTCATGATGCTGTGTAGACAGATAGTCATGCATTTCATTGTGGTGTGAATGGAGAAGAACACGAGTGCAAGCATGATCATGGTGAGCTCCATCTGGCTGATTCAGCAGTATCTGTGATGTGAGCAGGAGGGAATGAATACCCCATCGTGAGAGGATGTAAACCTTGCAGTGTAGATGGCCTCTCACCTCCCTGCAGTGCAGGAGATGGGGCACACAGCTCTATGCTCAGTAGTCCCTCAAAGGCTCACAGCACATCCTTGATGAGGCTAACTGGTGAGTTATGAAAGAAAGCGAGGAGAATCTTATTGGGCGTAAAGTGCACACTGCAGAAGGTCACCTTTGCCCATGCATTCACCTCCTG